TTATTTATAAAGAATAACAACCAATTCGCCTCCACTGACGACCGATGACGCCGGGCGCGGCGCACGTGGCCGCCCTTCAGCCTTCGGCCTCTCTTTCTTCTCTCCGGCAGGCTGGAACGTTCCCCCTTTCTTGTTGCGTCCCCTTTGTAGTAGTTTTGGGGGCCGATCCCCGAGTGCCGAGGGTCCCGCCCGCGCTCCGTCACATCAGAAGAAGAAAAGGAATGCGGATTTGAATATCAGACGCTTTTTGTGTTTGTCCTCCGCGATGTCTTATTCTCTTTTGGATGAAACATTATTTATCGGCAGCTCTTGTGATTGCAGCGACTAGTTAAATATTGAAAGTGATTTCCTATTCATATCATTGACATGAATACTTCATAACGCAGGTTGTCTTTGATATGAGAGAGAGGGACGCACCACGTATGGTTCATGTACAGCGCCGTGCGCACCGGCATCCCCTATAGAATCCTCCAACCTGATCCACAAAGATTTCTGTCATTGTCAGCGCAACCCAAAGTGTCTCTTTCCTCCGGTTCTGGTTCCGTCTCTTTCCTCCGGTTCTGGTTCCGTTTCTTTCCTCTGGTTCTGGTTCCGTCTCTTTCCTCCGGTTCTGGTTCTGTTTCTTTCCTCCAGTTCTGGTTCCGTTTCTTTCCTCCGGTTCTGGTTCCGTCTCTTTCCTCCGGTTCTGCTTCCGTTTCTTTCCTCCGGTTCTGGTTCCATTTCTTTCCTCTGGTTCCGTCTCTTTCCTCCGGTTCTGGTTCCGTTTCTTTCCTCCAGTTCTGGTTCCGTTTCTTTCCTCCGGTTCTGGTTCCGTCTCTTTCCTCCGGTTCTGGTTCCATCTCTTTCCTCCGGTTCTGGTTCCGTTTCTTTCCTCCTGTTCTGTTTCCGTTTCTTTCCTCTGGTTCTGGTTCCGTTTCTTTCCTCCGGTTCCGGTTCCGTTTCATTCCTCCGGTTCTGGTTTGCGTTTCTTTCCTCCGGTTCTGGTTACGTTTCTTTCCTCCGGTTCTGGTTCCATCTCTTTCCTCCGGTTCTGGTTACGTTTCTTTCCTCCGGTTCTGGTTTACGTTTCTTTCCTCCGGTTCTGGTTCTGTTCTTTCCTCAGATCCTGCAGCTGATTTCCATCTCATTTGTACATTTCCCTGAAAGAGTTTGATGTCAGCGACACGACTCCGACACACAACCCGATACAATGATACAAACACGTCTAATAACAATGACAATATTATATGATTTGTTACTCTGTGATGACATCAGGAGAATTATCCAATGACAGAGATAGGAGGAGGAGATCCGGCCGTACCGAGCGCTTCTGTGGAGGTTCCAGGACAACATTTAGGAAATACAGTTGCAATTACGCAGAGCAGAGTATATCAGGAGAGGAGAGTTATAGAGGAAGGAGCAGAGTCCTCCAGCAGAGCAGAGTATATCAGGAGCGGAGAGTTAGAGAGGAAGGAGCAGAGTCCTCCAGCAGAGCAGAGTATATCAGGAGCGGAGAGTTAGAGAGGAAGGAGCAGAGTCCTCCAGCAGAGCAGAGTATATCAGGAGCGGAGAGTTAGAGAGGAAGGAGCAGAGTCCTCCAGCAGAGCAGAGTATATCAGGAGCGGAGAGTTAGAGAGGAAGGAGCAGAGTCCTCCAGCAGAGCAGAGTATATCAGGAGCGGAGAGTTAGAGAGGAAGGAGCAGAGTCCTCCAGCAGAGCAGAGTATATCAGGAGCGGAGAGTTAGAGAGGAAGGAGCAGAGTCCTCCAGCAGAGCAGAGTATATCAGGAGCGGAGAGTTAGAGAGGAAGGAGCAGAGTCCTCCAGCAGAGCAGAGTATATCAGGAGCGGAGAGTTAGAGAGGAAGGAGCAGAGTCCTCCAGCAGAGCAGAGTATATCAGGAGCGGAGAGTTAGAGAGGAAGGAGCAGAGTCCTCCAGCAGAGCAGAGTATATCAGGAGCGGAGAGTTAGAGAGGAAGGAGCAGAGTCCTCCAGCAGAGCAGAGTATATCAGGAGCGGAGAGTTAGAGAGGAAGGAGCAGAGTCCTCCAGCAGAGCAGAGTATATCAGGAGCGGAGAGTTAGAGAGGAAGGAGCAGAGTCCTCCAGCAGAGCAGAGTATATCAGGAGCGGAGAGTTAGAGAGGAAGGAGCAGAGTCCTCCAGCAGAGCAGAGTATATCAGGAGCGGAGAGTTAGAGAGGAAGGAGCAGAGTCCTCCAGCAGAGCAGAGTATATCAGGAGCGGAGAGTTAGAGAGGAAGGAGCAGAGTCCTCCAGCAGAGCAGAGTATTCCAGGAGAGGAGAGTCAGTGATGTGCATTTGTTCGTTACACTTACGGGAAGACAGAGGAAATATAGAAGTGATGATGCGGCGTTGCTAATTGTTAATCCCGAGTGGTGACGCGTCTTTCCGGAACAATCTTCTCCTCCCTACAAGAGGTCGGGAGCTGTGACACTGAATTATAGGACATGTCCGGCAGCCGTATATCCACCGGATGCCGCAGATTCCTCTTCCAGTCGCACATATTGTGGACAGACCATAATAATGTGACAGAGATCAAACTTCAGGGGCAGCGCAGAGAACGCGACAGAATGCAAAGTGCTGAGGGGCCAATCAGGTATCAGCATGCCAGTCAGACCTCAAGGCACTGGGAGCTCTGCGGGGCCATCCATGGTCGCTATGGCGGGAAGGTAGGGTTGCCACCTGTCCAGGATTCACCCGAACAGTTCGAGTTTTGAATGCTGTGTTCGGGTTTCATGGCAGCAGAAACCCGGCCACATGATGTCAGGCAAACAGGGGCAACCAAAATTACGATAGGGGCTACTGCCCCCCCCCCCACTGAAAATAGTCTCAAAGGTGATATTTACATATGAATAAGCCACAGCTCATTCTCCCACAAAAATTTCCGTGCGTCGCTAGGGTGTTCGGGTTTCGCTTGAAGAAATGGTGGCAACCCTACGGGAAGGTCCGATCACTACTAGTACTCGGCAGCACAGAGTGTGTCAGGACTTTGGCTGCCGGGGGAATGCTGGCACTTGTAGTTCTCCGGAAGGAGGAGGGTGCCTAGCTTACAAAGCCCATCTCCATGTCCTATTGGTCCACAAGGCAGCACAGGGGACCTGCAGGTGAGGTGACGAGGAGCCGGCAGCGGCAGATCATCATGAAGGGTAATGAATTGTCGCCGAGACACTTTTGCCTTTTTCTTCTTTTTTTCGGGAACATTTGAACTCTCGTCTCTTGTAATGCAAATTGCGATTGTCCCCGGAATCCCCTCCTCGTTTGCCATAAATAAATAATCACACATTTGCATATTTTATTTCGCACGGCGGCAAATAACGTTCCCTAACTAGGTCTCTGCTGAATATTCCTGCGCCCGGCTGGAGGGAGCGATCCCCCCCCCATCATCCGCGCGCAGGACAACCAGAGAGCGTCGGGGCGGACGGGTCTGCAATCATTTGATATTTTTGGGGGGTTTTGGGTTTTTTTTTGTATAGTGTTTAAGATTTTCTTATCACAGACCCGAGCGGGAAATAA